AAAAAAAGTAAACAGTTAGGAAACCATGAAATGGAATCACAGAAAATCCCAGATATATACTCTGAAGAACATTAGTTTGATGGGTAAAAGGCTGTGCCTGCGCTCACAGGTTTCTCCCATCCACTCAACTGTCTCAGGCCCCAGCTAGGACTCTCCCTTGTGTGTACATTTGCAGTACACTGCTGCTTAACGGCCCAACTTCTTCCTAGCCTCACCAGTTCATGCTCATTCAACACAGCACCTGCTCATCCTCCAATTGGAGGAAACCAATTACCCTAGTTTGCTTGACCAAAAAAAAATAAAAAAAAAAAATATGTAAAAACCTCACAGACTGGAGGACTTAAGCAACTGACAGTTATTTTTCATAGTTCTGGAGGCTGGAATTCTGAGATCAGGGTGCCAGTAGAGCTAGAGTCTTGTGGAGGAGTCTCTTCACGGCTAGAGACATTTTCTCATTGCACCCTCACATGACAGACGCAAAGATACAAAGGTCTCTCCTCTTCTCATAAGGGTACTAACACAAGGTGGGGTCTCATCCTAACACTATTTGTAAAGTGCCACAGTCACATACCATTACACTGGAGCTTAAGGATCCATCCAAGATCTAGAATTGGCAAGGGCACATTCTATCTGTAATACCCAGGCATGTCTCTACTATGCTTGGATTCTTCCATTTCTTTCAATGTCCTTCCACCGGCCACCAGGCCTGCTCTGGCACTCTTTATTGGGTAAGGAGATACAATTTACTAGGGAGTGCTCAGAAATCTGTGAGCACATTTTCTGATGGCCATAGGGATTTGGGAGCCAGGGATTTTTTATGAGACATATCCTGGCTGTCCTGGAACTCACTAAGTAGACCAGGCTGGCCTTGAACTCAGAGATCTGCCTGCCTCTGCTTCCCAAATTCTGGGATTAAAGTTTTACGCCACCACTCTAAGCCATTAAGTAGTCTTGAACACCAGACACACTACTCTGATTTGCCAGACACCCACACAGGACAAAAACCTTTAGTAATTACCTAAGCTCCCACTATGCTTTACACATAGGCACAAAAGTCTATTCCGTATGATATAATATACTGAATTTAATCAGATCATACCTGCTTTATGTGTCAAGTCAGGACTGTGCTTCTTTTATGTGGAGCACTACCATGAAGTCCATCCCCATGGCTCTGTTGGGATCTTCATCTCTATTAACAAACCCAGCATTTACTCACAGGCAGAGTGTCTCTCGTAGATGCATGGCGAAGTATTTACAGGGTAAACTCTGTATGTTATTAAAAATTACTTTTCTGAACAAGGTATTATGTGTTTATAATATCGGTACTACAGAGTCTAAAGTGGGAAGGATCACAAAATTGAGGCCATCCTGGGCTGTATAACAAAATCCTAATTCAATTTTAAAAGTTAACTTTCCTGCTATACTCAGTTTTAGGTTACCAATTGTAAAACAATGAAAGTCACCGTCTATGAACTTTGTTTCTGGAAGCAAAAGGGTTCCTTTATAATAGAGCATATGAAGGCTGAGCAGGGTCCCTTACACCCTCTTTGGTCCCTGCATCTATCCAAGTTCAGTTTACCTCACATGCTCCACTCCTGCCACACTATACATTCCAACGCTCTTCAATCGAGGAAACTTTAACCCTTACCCTGTATTTCAGTTACTTTTCTCATTGCTATGACAAAATACCAGACAGCAGTACCTTAAGGGGGAAGAGATTTATTTTGGCTCACAGGATTGGTTTTGTTTTGCCTCATTTTACTTTATGTACCATGGCATGCCTGGTGCTGTGGAAGCCAGAAAAGAATGCTAGATCTGTTAGAACTAGAATTACAGATGATTGAATCCCCATTTGGGTGCTGGGAACCAAACCCAGACCCTGTGGAAGAGCAGCCAATGCTCTTGACCACTGAGTCATCTCTCCACCTCTTAGCTCATGATATAGAGAATACAGTCCACCATGGGAAGGCAGGACAGAAGAAGAAGCTTAGTCCATGTGAGTGAAATGGGAGGCTGCTGGTAACACCATGTTGACCAATAAAGAAGTAAGGTCCAGCTATAACCCTCAGGGCTCATCCTCAGCAGCCAGGAAACTCTATAAAGTTTCTGCAACCTCCCAAAAGAGCACTACCAGCCGCGGGCATGAGACTGTGGGAGATAATCCCAAACTCAAACAGTAACACCCCATCATACTTTCTCACTACAAAAAGCTCTTGTCTCCCTGAGCTCTGGCTCAAATGGCATGTTCTCTATGGGGCCTGTTGAAAAGTGCAGTCCCTCAACCCTACCCCAGCCCCTGTGCCAATCTGCTTTCCTGCTCTGTTTTTCTTCACAGTTCTTTTCACCATTAACTTTTTTCCTGTCTGTGTTTCTATTAGACTTGTAACTTCGAGTTCAAGCAAGAGAGTTTTTCTCCTGTTTTATTCCCTCGATGTATCTTCAGGGTCTTTAACAGTTCTTATGAACTGGTACATGAAGTCCATAAATTCATAATATAGTTGTATATTAATAGTTTAGATATGCCAATTTTGAAATATTTAACCATAAGATTAAAATTATATTTTCAACTCATAGTATCAATGTTGCCACCATTATACAGAAACATAAATTGAAGCTACTGCTATCCAGGCCTTAATTTAGTTTTAAAATGTAGTGCTACTGGGCTTGGTGATCTACATCTATACTCCTGTCACTTGGAAGGTACAGACAGGAAATCAAGTGTTCTGGGTCACCATTAGCTACACATGGAGTTTGAGGACAGTCTAGACTACAGGAGGCCCTCCTCAGTTCATTTTTAGCAATGAGATCTACAACAAGGTAGATGTTACTTTAAATGATTAGATTTTAAGTATTGTTAATACATTCTTGAGTGTCATTTAACAGTTCCTCTCTGCTAGGTGGTGGTGGCCTACACCTTTAATCCCAGCACTTGGGAGGCAGAGGCAGATGGATCTGTGTGGGTTCAAGGCCAGTCTGTTCTACAGAACAAGTTCAGAATAGCCAGGAGCTACACAGAGAAACTCTGTCCCAAAAAAAACATAAATAAATGAATAAGAAAATAAATAATGGTTTTTAAAAATCCTCTCCGAAATTCGTAGGTATCAGTGAGTAGATTCTACTGAGTCTATCTATCTATGCATAGTTTTCTCCCTACTCTGTTTTGAGGTTGCTTTCCTGTCTCTAGTTTTCTTACACAGGCTACTGCTGGATTAATTCAAAAGTTAAACATTTGATGAGTCACTCACCTGTTCAAATATGCTAAATGCTCCCAATTTCCTGGTTAATCAATCAGGCTCAACACACCCGGTGGCCCTCCCACTCTCTACCTCTAGTGTGCCCCATGCACCAGTCCTTTCCCCAAGCCCTGCAAGTCTCTCTCTCTCTTTTTTTTTTTTTTTGGCGGGGGGGATCAGGCCTCCATCCCAAATGAAACCCCAACCTCCCACATACAGAGCCATGCCCCACCTCTGAAACGATCATTTTACTAGTAAATACCCTCTGCCCAAATGCATGCAGTTCCATGGAGCATTGCCATACCCTTCTTTCGGCAGTTACAGACCCTCGTTCTACACTGAAGCTGTCTTTGCTCCCTTCACACTATCAGTGCCCTGAGGACAAAGTATCTCCCACACCTTTTTTTTTTTTTACTTAATGTCCCATACAGTATCTTTCGCAGGCTAAGGTTCTCTTAATACACATTAAATGAAAGAATCTACCTCTGTTTTTTCATTACATCTCTAAGTTACAGGGAAAGACAGACTGATGTATTTGAGTAAGTAACAGACAAGACAAGCTCCAGTTGTGCTGGGCACAACAAAGGCTACATGTAAAAGAATGACCTGTGTGCAATGAGCAGGGGAAAGAACAGGGCGGCTTGAGTAGCAAAGATGTCTTCCCCTGAAGCACTAAGTGGAAGGACAGGCCCCAATATTCAATGGCTAAAATATTTCATTCCTTTGTGACTTGTTGATTCTCATTTTTGAAATTAAAAAAAAAAAATCTGCTTTCATCTTAAAACACTAAAAGGCTTAACTGTGAAGTAGAGACCACACACGTGGGTTCTCAGAACCTGCAATACAAAGATGGCACTAAGAACCATCTTTGGGCACTCACTTCTCATAGTCCTGGCTCTTTGGGTGCCTCAAAGTTCTGCTGCTCCATTCAGGGCCCAAACACGTGAGGGAGGATGATGGTAGTATTTGAGCTGCCCTAGACTATGATGGGAAGCAGATTTGTTGCAGTACTGACAGAATGATGTGTGACCTTCTGACGTATGACAATATTTTTCCATCTGGAAAAAAGACTGCTTAACAAAGGGAAATTAATGCTGTGCTCATGAAAATAATAAGACATGAAGAAATGATGAAAGAAAACACACCAGCTGGACCTGAATTAAGACCAAATAAGAATTAATAATGGACAGAATAACAGAGGACACAAAAAAATCCCTGAATTTGAGATGTGCATGGCTTTGTCTGGGACAATCACTTTGGAATCACTTAAGTAGGATGAATTCTCCAGCTGTAGAGCTGTAGAAGGAAATGATAGATCGCAAGATGGAACATGAAAGATAAATGAGAAACAAGCCTTGTTTCAACAGTTCATGGTTCAGATACCATGGTTGGGTAAGTTGGGTGAGTGTCAACTCTTACAGGCCCTGGTTATTTCAGGCTCTATAAAAAGCAAGAGAGTAATCTGAATTGTTGAGATGGTATCTTCTGCAATTATGATCAGAAGACTCTAATCATCAGAACTTAACAGACCAATGCAGCAGGTTTTTAGAAAGCCCAAGCAGCCAGAACTATGAATAGAAAAGCCTACAGCTAGTCAAACTCAGAGTCAGGACAGAAGCAATGGAGCATTAGAGATAAGATAGCTTCTTCGTCTGCTGCCTTCAGTGGAGTCATAACAGTTCAGGCTGTAAACTCACCCTCTGAGCAGAAGTTTATTTGGCAGCAGCTAAGCAAGTTTCTGTGTCACTCGGGGACAATCCAAATTACCTTCTTTTAAAGTCCACTTGATGGAGCCCGTCCTCTTGCTGACAGCATGCAAGCTTCCATCCAGGGTTGAAACAAACAACAAGGTTTCAGGCAGTGTTACTGTGCTGGCACTTGCAAAACTCTGCAACAAGAGAGAGAGTATCTGGTTGTCAATCCTCTCCTTCACCCTGGGCATGTATAATCACAAACTCCTGCCCTCAAAATCATCCTTCATATGGCCATCCATCTTCCAGATGAAGAAACCGAGGTTGCTGGCTGTGGTGGCACACGCCTTTAATCCCAGCACTCAGGGGGCCAGCCTGGTCTACAAAGCAAGTCCAGAATAACCAAGGCTACACAGAAAAACCCTGTTTTAAAAAAACAAACAAGCAAAAAAGGAAGAAGGAAGGAAGGAAAGAAGGAGGGAGGGAGGCAGGGAGGAATGGAGGGAGGAAGGAAGGAAGGAAGGAAGGAAGGAAGGAAGGAAGGAAGGAAGGAAGGAAGGAAGGAAGGGAGGGAAGGAAAAAGAAAACATATGAAGGCCTATGTTCTCATACGAGAGCACATCTCCAGACAAGAGCCAAGTTGCTTTATCCTAAGTGTTGATCCTTCCCACAGACCAACAGGTCAATCTAACATGACAAAAAATTCTGAAACAATCCATGGGGAACTTCCCCTACAATGAAGGGGAGCGGTTTGGTCAGATCTCTGGCTTCCTTTTCTTGGGTCTCTTTTACTCTGTAACTCCCTGGCATCTTTTAAGAATCCATACTAGAAAAGAGTAACAACTACTTCTCATGCCAGGAGACTCCCCCCGCCCCCAAGACAGGGCTTTTCTGTGTAGCCTTGGCTGTCCTAGACTCGAATCTGTAGACCAAACTGGCCTTGAATTACAGAAATTGGCCTTTGCCTCCCCAAGTGCTGGGTTACAAGCATGCGCCACTGCACCTGGCTTAAAAAAAATCTTTTTTCAAAGAGCAGTTTACTTCAAAAAAATCAAGATTCCAATATAATTTATAATCATATAAATTGAAGCTACTGTTATTGAGGAAATTGATAAAAAGTCTAACTCCAAATTTTTCTTCACAATAAAAATATCATTTAAAGTCTATCTCTTTTATTCAACAAATTTTGAAACTGGAGGGCCAGGTGTGGTGGTTCATGCCTATGGTCCCAGCACTTTAGAGGAAAAGGCAAGAGGATTATGAGTAAAAGATCAACTTGGGCTACATAACAGGATCCTGTCTCAAAAAACTAATAATAATAGTTTATAATTATCTTATTTTTAAATTAAAAAAATTATTTGTAGATGTGCTTTGCCTATCAAGTATGTAAAGTACCACATGGGTGTCTGGTGTCTGCAGAGGCCAACAGAGGGCATAGAACCCTGGAAATGGAGTCACCTAGGGCTGTGAATTGCCATTTGGGTGCTGAGATCCCAGCTTGGGTGTTCTGCAAAAGTAGACAGTGCTCTTAACCACTGGGCCATTTCTTCAGCCTCCAAAAAAAAAAAAAAAAATGCTAAAACAAAAATATTTTAGGGCTGAGAATATAGCTCAATGGCACTGCAGTTGTATAAAGCCCTGAGGTCAATTCCCAGTAGTGAAAAATTTGATTAAAAAAAGAAATCTAAAAAGGAGTCCAGCAGTTAAGACCACCTACTGTTCTTGCAAAGGCCCTGAGTTCAGTTCTTAGCACCCACCTTGGGCAGCTCCCAACTGCCTGTAACTCCAGCTACAGAGGAATCTATGCCTTTGTACTCCAGAGACCTGCGTTCACATGCACATACTCATACCTATAATTTCACATCTAAAGACTGTGAAAATTATCTTCATCATCCATTGCTAGTAGAGAGAAATGTTAGTATAAGCTTTCTTAAAAAATAATTTATTTAAAGAATATTTATTAAATTAACAGTATTATTTATTAAATTAACAGGTTTCTTTGTCATTTTCATACATGTGTAACATTGTATTTTGCTCATATTCACTCATACCAGTTTCCCTTATTCCCCCCCAAAACACACACACACTCACACATACACTTGGTCCCTTCCTCCCCTCAAATAGCCCTATGGGAAAGCATAAAGGTAATTCATACTTAGACTATATGGCTTCAAATTTCTAATATTCTAAAAACTGAAACAAACTGAGACACAGCTCAACAACAAATGTTATATATGTATTAACACAGACCTTAAGAGAAATCTGTGACACAGAAAAATGCTCATATCTATTATTTAGTGAAAAATTACAGAACCCAAACCTTGGTGTCCACTGTGTTTCTGAAGAAGTTCTGTCTCTGTGTCCTCTGGCTTTGTTAGGATCTATACCCTCACTACAGTGTTTCCATAGGAGCTGTCACATGTACCCACAAAAATGTGTATGAGAGTTGCTAGTTTCCTAGATAACACTGCCCCGTTGAGATGCCACACTTTTGTAATAGACTTTTCTTTTTCTTTGTCACTAGGCTATCTCACAAATTACCTAGTTCTAATATGTATGTGTGTATGGGGGTGGTCTTGAATTTAAGCAGGTCAGCTGCTTAATGTTAACTGTAACATTTGAATTTTGGTATAAGCACTCTTTTTTGGAATATGAGTTTAGCTGTCTTTTCATGTTAAAAACAAAAGGATTCACTCAGGAGGCAAAGGCAGGCAGAACTCTGTGAGTTCTAGGCCAGCCTGGTCTACAAAACAAGTTCCAGGACAGGCAGGGCAGTTATACAGAGAAAGCTGTCGGGGGGGGGGGGGGGGTTGAGCAGTTATTTATGAATGGGAGCCAGGGCCTGATGGTTCTCTTTAGGGTGTCCTGAGATGGCAGACAAGAACTCCAGCCCTGCATTCCTTTTCCTAAGGAGATCCACTGACAGCACCCAGTGGGGGTGATGCTGGAGCAGCTGCCAAAACTTGGCTCTTCCATCCCCTGGAATGCTGACCTGGAGAACAGGAGGTGCAGTCCTTACTTTGATATGGCCCAGCCTTCTTTATGGAAGTGGACAAAGAGCAAACTCTAATGCTGCCAACTGGACCTGTTATCTACGCATGGCCTGGAGTCTGAGGAAGAAAAGCCTGCTTTTAATTCTACCCGAGAAACCCAGAAATAAAACTAAGAGGGAAACCATAGAAGCCTTAAGAGTGGTGGTCCCTGTCCTAGCTGAGGATCCAAAGGTCACTGTTTGGGAATAGCTGAAATCATTTTAGCTCACAGGGTTCAGAGGTGACAAGCTATAAGTGGACCTGCCCACCCCCTGGCATGAGAAAACCACAGTGCCCAGAGCAAACAGTTATCACAGGAACAACCACCTTGTAAAACCAGTCTTGGAACCCATGCAGGAACCGAGTCCTTCTAGGTGGCACAAGTAGAAAATTACAGAGTTGAAAACGTTTTTGTTTTTAACCATATGGAAAAGCTGGATGCCACAAAGAGACAAAAGGAAGCCTGAGGAGAAACTCAGCTCAAAGACAGAAGAGCAGCCATCTGTAAAACAAATTACAATTAGGTAAATTTGCTGAAATTAGGTTTCTGCTACTTGTACCAAGTAGTCCATACCCCTGGACCACTATTTAAAAAAGAGAGTGCTGGGCCTTAAGAGATGGCTCACACTTAAGAGTGCTTGCTGTGGGTGGCGCCCAGCTGTAATCCTAGCACTCTGGAGGTAGAGGCATTGCGGATCTCTGTGAAATCAAGGCCAGCCTGATCTACAGAGGGAGTTCAGGACAGCCAAGGCTACACAGAGAAACCCTGTCTTGAAAAATGAAAAAGAAAAACAAAACAAAACAAAAAAACAAAACAAAACACTGCTCTTGCAGAGGACCAAGGTGCAGTTCCGAGAACCCATGTACCAGCTTTCTGCCTTCTGTGACTCGAGTCCCAAGGGATCCGGTGTTCTTTTATGGCCTTTGTGGGCACCAGGTACCTATGTAGTATACACACATAATGCTCACAGGAAACACTCATACACATAAACAAATACAAATTTAAAAACCAAGTGCTGAGGAGATGGCTCAGGAAGTAAGGGTCTTTGCCACCACGCCTTGGTCTACAGCGTGAGATCCAGGATAGGCAAGGCTACATAGAGAAACCCTGTCTCAAAAAACCAAACCAAAACAAACAAACAAAAAACCAAAAAACCAACAACAAATTTTTCATAAACTAGAAAGACAACACACGAGTCTGCAGGTGAGAGAGAAGCACTTAACAGCACTTATGTGAGCATCCAAATCCATGGAGCACACTTTCAGTTTCAGGATTATCAGGCAACTCTGCCACCTTTGAGTCTTAGTAGTCACCAAAAGGAGCAAAGGTCTAGAGAGGCAGAAGTCTCCCAGTCAGATCGTGAGCATCCAAGAGTAAGAGCTCTGGCACTATTACTGAAGCACAGAAAATGCCCCAGCTAGCTCATCACAGTAGTAAAACATAAAACACTTGATGGGGCTGAAGAAATGGCTCAGCTGTTAGGAGAACTGGCTGCTCAGAGGTTCTGAGTTCAGTTTCCAGTAACCACATGGTGGCTCCCAACCATCTATAATGGGATCTGGTGCCCCCTTCTGATGTGCATAGAAACGATCACTTATATATATATAAATAAATAAACAAAAACACCCAAACATCAGAGTTCCTTTGCTACCAATGTGAAAAGGAAAACCACCTACCTTGTTTGAGTATCTTGGAAACACAGGAAAAGCAATTGTCTGTGGTTGACTGGTGAACCAAAATAAAAGTCCTCATCACACAACTAGCTAAAACTCTCTAAACAATGAGGTTTGCAGAGAAGTTGGGCTAGTAACTGGGCTACAGCAGCCAGTTACAAGTCCACAGTAACCTCACAACTCCAGCCAAGTTTGGCAGGTTCCGTTCTTAACTGATCCAATTTGGCTCTGGGGAGCCATTATAACTCATTTTCATATTCTCTCTCCCTCCCCCATCCTTGAGACAGGGTCTTTCTATGTGGTCTGTCATAGTCTTATAAGTATGTATTAGAAATTTCCTGGTGTTTCAAAACCTCAAGCAAAATTTATCTCTCCCTTTGAGACAGGCTGGCTTTGAAGTCTCTATATAGCCAATAATAATCCTGCCTCCACCATCCCTGGATTATGTGGTGCTAGAGATAAAACCTAGGGCTTCATGTTACTAGGGAAAC